CCTCCATCCTCAGAAAGGGCGTCCTGACCAAGTGCGTCCACGAGGAACGCCACCTGCAGTGCCCGACCCCAGAGAACACGGACGCGGATCAGAAATGGCGCGTCTGCACAGACGCTAGAATGTGCTCATTGCTTCCTGCACCGCCGCGACTCCCCACCCCCAACCCCACGTTACTTCACATCCCACTATGAAATCAAGAATTACGAGGGAAATACTGTAAAGAACCTCCACAAGCTTTGTCTTTTCCCCTCCATCCTCAGAAAGGGCGTCCTGACCAAGTGCGCCCACGAGGAACGCCACCTGTGGTGCCCGAGCCCAGAGAACACGGACGGGGATCAGAAATGGCGCGTCTGCACAGACGCTACAGTCACCTCACTGCTTCCCGCCCGCACCCTGTTCCCCCCTTTACTCCCCATCCCACTATGAAACCCAGAATCACTTCACCAGCTGGACCACGGGATCAAGGGACGGCCTTTCCTGGTGCGCACCCTCTCTCCGCTACGACCAGGATGGCAAGTGAGTGAGCGCTTGAAAAGAAGGGGCGGAAAGACGTCACCGGAAGAAGACGTCCACGTGGACGCAGGACCCCGCTTCCTCTTCTCACACATCGCATCTTCCGCCCTTACATCCGGGCCTTTAGTTTAGAGTCACCCTCTCCGGCATCTTGTTTACGCCACTGATTAAATGTGGCGCCACCGCACCCCCATTAAAGGAGACCAACATCAAATACATGCATACATACATACATACACCTTGATAATTTTTGGCAGTTTGAACCTGAGAGTTGCAAACAAAAGGAAAGTTCCGATTTTAAGCTCTAACTTTGTGATGTTGGAAAAGTTCATTTTCAGTATTCGAAAAGGAAGCTGTCCGACTCACATGTAAACACAAAATCAAACTAATGCACAAGAACCCAAATGCAACCTTAGATATAGATCCCACATGACTGTCAACACCATCTCAAGAGGTCATGATGGCACCTAAGGATTTATATAATGTCAGTTAAAGCATTGCACGCAAATAAACATTAGTGCCATTCAGCCTGTCCATCAGGTTGCAGCCTAAGACCTCCGTTGGAGATTGGCATGGAATACCACTCTCTGGAGGCTGGACCCCCTCTCTCTCTGCCTTCACCTACCTGCTTGCTGACCATCGTAAGAGCTGCTGAAGCCCCATGATGGTTCCACTGATGTTGGATCGATCGGGTCCACTGACTCTGCACCCACCGGATGTGATCTGCATCATTGCATATGACTACATAAGTCTGAGGAGGGACTCATGGATTATTATCAGCCTTACAGACCAGAGTTGGACTGGGCTGGGCTGTTTTCTCAGTAGATAATTACTTCTTGATATAAAGCTCTTGCTTACACATGTGAGTGCCACTGGATTTGTTTCTTTAGTCAGCCCCAACCTAGCATAGGCATAGGACACTGGAAACTGTGTCAAATTCACAACTGATTGGCAGATCGTTAAGCACAATGAGAGGAGGGGGTGGGGGTGGGGATATGGAAGCCAAAACGAGATCATGATTGAGACACACACATTATGTTGGATAGAACTTACAAGTGAGTCCTTCCAACCAATACAGGTTGAGAGGTGAAAGTCCAGAAGTACTGAAAGGGTCTGTGAGGCAGGAAACTGTGTGCCCTTTCCCTGGCTTACCTTAGTGTAGTCCAAAAGTTATCTCAGAGTCCCAGAGCCACAAATGTTAGGTTCCTCGGGTGAGTAATACCGTTTTTCTTAGCTTTCCAGGAGCAAGAATTCACACCAAATCCATGCTTGGGCCCACAACTGAATATGGGCAACCTCATGGGACTGCGCACCCACATGTGGTGAACTGAGGCTAGGGAGAGTGCGGGATGGCCTAGTGGGCACAGGAGCAGGGAAAAAGGGACTGCCTTCTTGCTGCTAGAGTATTTTAAACCTGTGGCTTGGGAAGTAGAGTGGAAGGTGTTGATCGACCCCATTGGCTGAATTAAGCCCACCTGGGTGGGGTCATGAGCCTGGACCTAGTTTGGGCCACCCAAGTGTAACACCCACCTGGCTTGGGGGGTCTGAATTGGAGCAGGGTCAGTTGATGTCTTCATAGGTGTTTAATGCTCACCTGATTCCTTCCCAACCTCCTTTATGGGGGCCTGAGCAGGCCTGGGAGGAACAACTCCCTGTGCCTGTCTTGGCTACCTAACAGAAGCAGACTGTCACATCTATTGCCCATGGAGCAGCTGGTAGTGTGAACTGGTTACCTTTGTTTACCAGCTTATGTGCTTTAACCATTGTACCACCAGGGCCCTCTAAAGCAACTCTGCCATTTGTATATCTTTTCTTGCTAAGCTGATGTATATTTTCAACTTGCAGCTGAAACATCTCTTTTTTTTTTCAAGAAGTTCCTGCAAATAGCCACAACCCACCACAAATAAAAAGAAATAGAGAATGAAAATAGTGTAGAGTAGATTGAATTTCTCATATTGTCATCAGATCTGTTGACTAAAATATATTTGATTCATAATATTCTTCCTGGATAGATTACTTGGTGTCTATTTTCATGATTTTTGCTGTTTTAAATGAAATCAACCAACAATTAGTATTTATTGAGCATTTTAAGTCATTTCTATAAGTCAGTTTATGCGTTGCATATTAAATTCCAGTTAATAAATGCAATTCCTTTATTTTTGCCTAAAGTTTTATTTACTTTCCTTTGAAAGCCTGTATTAAGCCTTTTCATCATCTTTAGCAGCCAGATATTCAATAGGAACAGCAAAATTTTCCCCTGAAACTTGGCATTATCATAATTCTAGTACCAGTAACAGTAATAATAATAACACTAATAAAACCTTTCCTAATCATTAATTTTCCAGAACCTTTAATAATAAGTCAAAGCATGTGCATAAAATTCATTTATACCTTACAACTACTCCATAGAGTAGAAATTGCCTTTCTGTTTCACCGATAAAATAGTTTCAAGAAGCAATGTAACTCATTTGAGGCCATGTACCTGTTCACACACAGCTACACCCACAACTCTCACTGCCATCGAGTTGATTCTGACTCAGTGACCACAAAGGACAAGGTAGAACTGCTCCCTGTGAGTTTCTGAGACTTTAAATCTGTAAAGGAGTCAACTGCCTCATCTCTCTCCCACAGAGCACCTGGTGGATTTGAACCACTGACTTTCTAGTCAAAAGATCAGTGTATGCCCACTATGCCACTAAGGCTCTTTACCTGTTGACTAGTATAATAGGTTTATTGTTCCAACCTGGTCAATAGAAACATGTAGGATTAATAAGGTCGCAGTTTATTAGAGGGCGAAGAGATAAATGGCTCTGCAAGGCCCACCCCCACCTCTCTTGCTCTCTGGTGATCAACCAGCATGCTGTTGCTTTAGCTAGTTCTCTACCTCAACCTATGTGTTACACCACCTGTGGGGCCAAGCCAACCCATGGATCGTGGAGCGTGCATCGTGTCGCTAGAGCTTGAGGTTCCTTCAAGACCTTCTTTGCCACACTGCTGGTGCATACATCACTTGAACTTAAGGCTGCATGATCCTGTCACCTTGCATTGCTTGCATATCCTATCCAGGTCTGCTTCGCTAAGCTCCTGAGCTGCTAACTATTGCTGACCCACACTGCTGTTTGCTGCCTCTGGGAAGACTGCCTGCCTTGCCGGAGGGAAGACTGCACTGTCTGCTTCCTTGACCTTGGACCCAGCAGCCCACGTGAGTCAAAGTACTTCCAGGATATTAACTGTTCCATGAAAGTGAGTTGAATTGAGCCCACTGTACTGCTGCTGTGTGCACTAAAGAGTTGCTATATTCCTTCTTGCTGTATAAACATATATATGTTTATATGTTTATAGTGTCCTGGAGAACCCTGCCTAACATAACTAATAAGGAGGAATTTGGAACCCTTGCCCTATAAAAGGGACCTTGTACCTTTCCATAGTATAAGAAATATCTTCCAATGGTGAGTGTATTATAAATTTAGACATTGTATATAAAATCTGGTTTATGTCAAATGCCACTAAAATTCAAGTAGCCTGTTGATTCAGCTCCTTTTTCAGTCCATGTATAAAATCATTGAATAACATTTTCTCATTATTTAAAGAGTAATCAAAGAATCAAAAAAGAAATGAACCATCACTTGACATCACAACATAGTTAAGATATTTAGAATATTGGGCCACCCTTCTAAATCACATGCTTGTTCTCAGCTTCTGCCTACACTTTGTTTTTTTAATATACAAAATAATATTTTATTATATTTTGGTATAAATTTGCACAATGAAATAGGTTCCCATTTGACAATGTCTATTAAAAGTGTCCAGTGACAGAAATTAAACTTTTCACAATGTATCAAAAATATTCTCTTAGGTTATATTCTGGTAGTTGTATTCCCAGGACTTGAGTTTCCCTGCTTCTTTATCATTTCATCTTTGTTAGGGTTGATATTTGGATCTCATAAAAACCTAAAATTCAAACCCACTGCCATCAAGTCAAACAGGACTCATAATAACCCTATATGACAGAGTAGAACTGCTCCATAGAGGGTCCAAAATTATACATCTTTATTGGACCAGAAAACTTAATTTTTCTCCAGTGCAGTGGCTGGTGCATTTGGTCCACAAATACTTAACTTGTGTCACTCTGGTTCCTTTTGTTCCCATATAGATGGTTTTATAATGGGGCACCATGTACATAGGTAATAGCCTTTATTTTGTGTGCCAATTTAGTTCACTGAAAGGTGACCTCAGGGATAATGTTGGTTCATGGTTTCAAGAGTATCTCAGGGTCTTAGACTCAGAGTCCTCTCTTTTCAACTGGTCCAGTAAGTTTTGAGTTTTGTTCTATGTGTCCCTCTCATTCAATCAGAACTCATCTAATGTGGCCCTGGTCAGAACCCTTCCACTGTGTTTTGAATAGTTTGTGCATGCACCCAAATACACACACACACACATGATAAGGACTTATTGGAACTACACATCTATTTGTCTTTATCGCCAAATGGCATCCCTCAGGGGCATCAGAAGTTCCAAGGATTGCCAAACACATGTTGAGAAGTCCTTTCCCACGGTAGTACCCCTGCTACACAGTTTAGTGCCTCTTCTGTCTCTGTAGCCAGTGAGTATTATGAACTGCATTCCACTGCTATCCTTGCCAGGTGACTGGCATTGTTGGCCTACTCTTAAGTTTTTGGATGGGAACACTATATTCCTACGATGCTCTTTATCACAAGTAAGAGGTATACCTCTTCCAAGTATCACTTCACCATATTGCAAACCTGGCTATGACTTTCTCCCTGTAAAACTGGTGAAAAAGAAGGAAAATATATAGTAGAGACTAGTTTGATAGTAATGGACAAAAGAAGAGCCATTTTCAGGTTCCCTCACCTCAACATTACTCCAAGCCATCATCTACAAGGTCCAGAGCAGTGTAAGCTCCCATGAGCCAAAACTTCATGAATCCGTCCAAACTTGGTCTTCAGAAAGAG